CTACACCAGAACAACAGAGTTCAATTATAATATATGAGGGAATCCAAAACGTGCCACATAAATCCTCTATTTCTGTGAAAGCCTATAATCATAAGCTTCACTTTTCAAAATCAGCTAAGTGATAAAAATCCAGTACTAATAATGCTTCATCTTTACAACAGTGCAGAAGTTTTAATCACCATCATTTATTTAAGTTTTTAGTAGGCAATTCTAACACATTCAAATTGCTTACAAGTAATTTGAAAAGTTCTGATTTCTAATTCTGATTTCTTCATAATCCTCACTAGATTAGATTTTTCATAAAAATATTTCATATAAAATATATAATGACTCAACTATTCTCTCTATAGGTAAAAAAAAATGTAATAGCTGAGAAGGTATTTTTTTACTTTAATTGCCTTTCCTGTTTTGAAGGGTAGGATCATTTTTCCAGTTCTCTCAGGTTCCAAGGGTTGTTTGATGAACTTCTTCACTCTTCAAGCAGAGGAAATGTCCTAGGCAGTGTAATCCATCACAGAGCTCTCACATCTTTACTCTCTTTCTACTCCTCCCATGCTCTTTGCCTTCCCTGATTCCTCTGTAGATCCTAAAACTACTGTTCTGTATCTTGTTTCTCTTCCAACTACCATTTCTGCCATTCACTAGCTCTCTACCAGTTCTTAAAGTCTGTGTCCTGCCAGTGAGAAAGTGCCTCCAGAAATCTGATTTCACCTGGCAACACCAATTATTTAACAGAAATCTCAATTTACTTTTAAAAAATACATAGAAAAATGGCCATTATATTTTTGGCTTCAGTCCCTAAGGCTTTAAGCAGTGCTGAGAGACAAATTGATTGAGGAAAAAAAAACACAAGATAGAAGCCTCAAATAACAAATAACCGAACTCATTCAATACATGAATGAGTTCATAATTTTATTTAAATTTTCATAAAGTTTCCTGAGATCACCACATATGCAAAGTAATTATAAATGAGAATGCATGATTTAAAAACACATTTTAGAAAGTCTAATGCTTTCATCCCTTTGTATAGTGCCAGAATGTGCAGATCAACAGGACAACATTAATGAGGAAGTCACAGCTTCCCTGAGAACTGGATCCACAAATTTATTCTTAAACTTTATACCTTGCGGCACTGTAGAACTGATTCTGTGTAGGTTTAATATGGACATTTTAAAGCCTGGCCTAAGGAATAACAAGCAATTGTTTCAAGGAAAATTTATGAGGGACATGTTTCTTACATGACGCTAGATGGGTAGGGAATTAACATCATTATTCTGAATATCAAGATACTATAGTTCAATCCAAGGTTTCATTCTTGGCCAATTGTCAGTAACAACATGGAGCACTATCAGTACAAAAAAGAATGAGTCTCAGAATTTTTCCCTTCCCTTCCAATTCTTCCTTTGTATGTACACAATGCATTGCCTTTTTTTCACAGCTAGCCAAAGTTGCAGTCTAATGGCCCTTTTATCCTCTGGATTTCGTGTTTGTGAAAGGAACCGAGAGCAGCTCTTCCTTGCCACAGAATATTCATTTTTCCCCTTTATTTGAGCAGTGAACAACTAATTCAGGTTCACATTCACCATGGTGCCATTGGAAGTGTCATAACTAATACCTCCTGTTCAACCACGTTGTGTTGTCGGTGACTTTGGGGGAAGACACTGATTCTACCAGTGAAAGAGAGTGGTGCTTTTATTTGAAGGAGAAAACTGCTCTAGTTTACTGTCCAGGGATCATACTGTTGTAAATAGCATTAATATTGAAATGGTAACTTTACTTCTTATGCTACTGTAAATTTCTTTCCCTGTCTTTACTTGATTTCAAAGTAGACTTGAGGAAGAACACAGAAGCTGAGTAAAGGTTTTAGGTTTGGTCATTCACATTCGAGAAAAGAGTTGAGAGTTGAAACTGCAAATGGCAGATTGATGTATGCAGTATATACACTTTGAAGAAAGATTTAACTGTGAGTTGTATTTACCAGATAGTAACTGTAGTAATGCTTGCCTGAGCGCTGTAATTCATAATGAATTACTTCTGAATCTAAATATGGGATGACAGCCAAAGGCTCTGTAAAGTTCTAAACAAACATACTGCAATGAATCTTGTATAGAATTCCCTTTTCAAATTGATGTTAAATAAATGAAAAAAATAGAACTATCCTAATTTCTGATAGTGAAGAAAGGCTGTTTTTCTTGGATGACTGTCTTTTTAAGAGATAAAGGACCAGGTACAACTGCAAAATTTTCTTATCATTTTATTCTTTATTTGTTGATAATGTTTGACATTGCTTTCTCCTTTCTGAATTCAAAGACAGTGAATCAGTAAATATATTTCATAGAAGCAACCACACCTTAGTGAAATAGTGTTTAGCACTTCAGAACAATATGCTACCTGGCTTTCCTATGGTACTTCAACAATACATTTCTGGGGCTTTAGTAAATAGAGTTTCATGAAGTTAAGTAAGAATAATCAGATGGCATCTGATCTACCAGAACATGATGTAACATGCAATTTTAAAGGCCAGATTCCTGTTATGTTGACAAGGATAGAACAAAAAAGGTTTGCTCTCTCTTTGTTTCTAGGTGTATCCAACACATGTATCCAGATGACCAGATACTCCATTGGCTTTTAAGTGCATCCATATTATCCTGAAATGTCACATAGTTTTCTCAGGTTAGCAGCACTGTCAGTGCAAGATATCACCCATCTTTCCCTGTCTCCTAGCAACTGCATCTCACTTTTTTCTCTGCTGTCAAATTCTTTCTTCTTTCTCTCCAGATACTCAGCCCACAAAGAGCTTTCAAAAACACTTGTACATGCCAGAATTGAAGCACTTTTTCATAAATAGTCTAGTGAATAAAAGCTCTCTTAGCTATCTGCTTATGAATAAAAATGATAGCGATAATATTAACATGAATTAGTTGGTTTTGTTTGTGAGAACAGCCAGGTATACTTTTCTTCCATGAATTAACCTTAAGAGAACCAGAATCTTGGCTAGAATGCTAAAACTCGATA